GGCCAGCAGCGAGCACCACTGCCCTGGAAACCGACTCGGTAATTGGATCTCATAAGTGAAGTCCAGACACACCATCGGGGTGCGCAAAGTCTGGCTCAGTAAAGGAATATTCTATTTTTCATTTCCCATCAAGATGTTTAAAGAGTTGAAAGGCGTTTCTAGCTTATTAACCAAACCTCGTTTGCTGTGCCTGGGGCTCCTCTCAAGTTTGGAACCAATGGCACGGGAACAAAAGCCGCTGGACTAAGTTACAGTCAGATTGTCAATTTTTCTTCCTTTTCGGGGCTCGGAAACACCGCTTGTTGAGACCAGCCCCAAGACCCTGGTGGGAGAAGCCTTTTTTAAATACCAGTTTCATCACTGTCACTTAGTGCAATTTACATTTAGGACAGGTAGCAGATGGCTGCGTGCAACAACGTGGGCTGTTTGGTTTTACTGGACAGGTTGTTCCGCTGGCATCTGATGATCTCTTGAGCCTGGCTCAGCCTAGGCGGCTGCTTCCCCCTGCTCGGGCCCCACGTGCAGCCCCGACACAGGGACTTGGAACCCGGGTTGGAGCATCATGGCATTTCCTGAGCTTAGGAAAGAGGCTGCTTTCAATTCCGAGCACAGGGAATGAAGAAGTCTGGTTTTCAGCCAAATTCTGCTGCCTGCTGGTTAGCTTTGAAAAAGTTACCAAATTCAGTGTGGAGACACTAAAACACGGGATGGAACATGCTCATGCTGTTGTGGCCATCGAGAGGAAAGTGTTGTGTCTGGAAGAACAGGGATAGTGGGCATGCTCTTCCCCCGACCTGGGACTGCCCCAGGCTTCAGAGGCAGCTCAACCCTGGGACCAGGACCTGGACTTGCTCCACCCCAGCCAGGGCCACGGCCGTGGCCAGCCAGGCACAGGTGTGGGAGCAGAACCCTGACCCCAGCCCACTTCCTTTTCAGCCAGGGCATGAAAGCAGGGACCCCCAAGGGCCAGGGAGCCCAGGCTCTGCCTCCTCCCTCCCTGGGGACTTGGCAACTCTCCTAGTTTGGGCTGCTGTAACAAAATACCAGAGGCTGGGTGGCTTACAAACGGCAGACTATTTCTCACAGTTCTGGAGGCTGGAAGTCCACGATCGAGGCCCTGGCAGGTTTGACATCTGGTGAGGGCTGGTTCATAGACGGTGCCTTCTGGATGTGTCCTCACGTGGTGGAAGGGGCGAGGGATCTCTCTGGGCCCCTTTTATAAGGGCATGAATCCCACCCAGGAGCCTAATCACCTCCCAAAGGCCTCTGATTTCAGAACTTTCTGCATTAATTACACGCTTTCCTCTTTTTGCTTGCTGTAAATACATAGAGAGAGAGAGACGCACACACACACACCTGGAAAACCCCACTGTACTTGATCACTGTTATTCACATCTATGCAAAAACCTGCACACAGATGTTCATAGCAGCTTTATCCACAATTGCCAAAGTTTGGAAGCGACAAGATGTCCTTCAAGAAGTGACTGGATAAACAAACTGTGGCACAACCAGACAATGGAGTATTAATCAGTGCCAAAAAGAAATGAGCTAACCAAGCCACGAGAAGGCACAAGAAACTTATGTGCACATTGCTAAGTGTTAGAGGCCAATCTGAAAAGGCTGCAGACTGTGAGTCCCACAAGACATTCTGGAAAAGGCGAAACTATGGAGACGGTGAGGAGATCAGTGGTTGCCAGGGGTTAGGGAGGAAGGAGGGAGCCCGGGGGTTGTAGGGCAGCGAAACCATTCGGTATGATACTATAACAGTGGGTACGTGATGTTACACATTTGTCTAAACCCACAGCACGTATAACACCCAGTGTGAACTCTGACGTAAACTATGGGCTTCTGTTCGTGACAATGTATCGATACCGGCTCACCGAGTGTAACAAATGCTCCGCACTAATGCAAGATATTAATAATAAGGGAAACAGCATGTGGTGGGGGGCTTAATATAGGAGCTCCCTTCACTTCTACTTAATTTCCTATAAACCTAAAACTGCTCTAAAAGATAGCTCAGCAAGATAAAGCCTACTAATTTCAAAACAGGGGAAGCGGAGGAAAGAGAAAGTTCAGCTTTATGGAGGAGTATCAGTCACTACAAGAAGAAAAACCGACATAGAAAACTACCATGTGAGAACTGATTCAATCACTGTGTTTTAAATCCTAAAACTGAAATAACTATTTCTGTCGAAACCCAAAACAAAACCCCAAACCACAAAGTTTGATCGCTGCAAACTCCTGGGTGGGACGGGGAACAGTTTTGCAGGGAAGAAGCCACCTGCCCCCCTGCGCTGCGTCATGCCTCCTGCTCTTGACCCCTGACCCGAGGGGGTCCTGTCCCTGGCCTGGTCCCGCCGGCCTCTGCCCTTGCTGGAGACCCAAGAACACCTGAACCTACTTCTGTGCTCTGTCCGGAGCCGCGTCCCGCGCTCTGATGAAAAGGGGTTTCTGCTCCTTTTCGGGGTTTGGTCTTTCGCATCAGTAACGAGCACAGAGGCCGCGGTCCGGGGAACGCTTCGGAAACCACGGAGGATGCACCCAGGCTGCCGTCTCCGTGGGCAGCTCCCAAGTCACGGCCACTCGGTTCTGGGCAAGTAGTCAGGGGTCCTGCTCCCGCCTCTGTCTGTAATTCCCACGCTCCGCGCCTGCTCACGGCAATCGAGGGTCCCACGCTTTGGTACCGACTCAATCCAGGATCACACTGAAGGCAGCTTGAACTCTAGGCCACGTCCCTCTGTTTCAACACAGCTCAGGGGCTGGCCAGTGTGCTTTTGGAAGTGAAGTTAGGATCTGTTCTGGAATAACAGTCCTTTCAAAACCTTAGCATCTAAAGACAGCAACAGTCTGGTGGAGGGGGGTGGGGGGAGGTCTGGCACATAACGGGACAACACCAACCCGAGGGGTCACTGTGGGAGGAAAAGAGCAGCTCAGAGTGTACCCCCCACCGACCAGGACACGGCGAGAGGGGCGGCTGACTCTGCTGGGGCCCGGGCCCCCAGAATCCACCAGAAACAGGCACGGATGAGGCCAGGATACAGACACATGCAGCTCTCCCCAGGCCGGTGGGAGCCAAGGCCCAAGGCTGGCCCGGGAGGGAACCCAGGTCTGGACGACGGCCGCCTATAAATGTGCTGAAGGCTCAAGTTCATGCCCAGGAATCCGCAGGTCCCTTATGTTTACAGCCAGGCACCGGGAGCTGCGACTCCCCGCCTCGGAGAGGAGGGTTCCTGCCCCAGAGTGGGCGCCAGCGCAGAGGACCTTCCGGAAGAGAAGCCGCCCACGTCAACACAGCGGGGATGTGCCCATGTCGGGGAAGGACAGATGAATGGACAGGGCCCTCCTGAGCCTCCTGCCGACCTGCAGCCCACTCACAGTGAGCCCCCGCTTGGGGCTCGGCGTCTCTGCTTCTCAGCTCAGCTCAGCTCTCATCCTCCCCCTGCTGCCCGCACCCAGCAGTCGCCCGGCCGCAGAATATCAAACTCTGCAGCTGCCCCTCACCCCAGAATGCTCTGCAGGCCTGGGGGCTCCACCACCCTGCCCGCCACACACCCAACCCCGAGCCCCTCCCTCTTCATCTTCCAAGTGTGCTGCCTGGACCCCCAGCCAAACCTGGCTTCGTGCACATCGCTGCTCTGCACACAAACACCCAAGTGTTTCCCTCCCTCCTGTTGTTTCCACGCTGGGCCTGGTGCCTGCTCACCGGCAGTCAGGCTCTTACTCTGCACCCCTACCCTGTGCCCCTCCCCCACTCTGCACCCCCACCTTGGAGCTGCGCTCGTGCAGTTCCACCTCCTGACACCGCAGGCATTGCAGCAGCCACCAGCAAGCCCATGCCCGCTCTTACATTGCTCACAGCCAAACGTAAGAGACACAGACAACCGGAAAGAGGCGATGATGGCCCCCAACCAGTGCTCAGCCAGGGGTGTGCTGGCTGGATCCACGCCCAGTGGGGTCTCTCCCCAGCGTGAGGGGTCTGATGGGCCTCCCACAAATGATAAGAAAGCGCCATTCTTCAGTTGTTGTGTGCTTAACAATTTTGAGGTGTGACACCTGTATGTGACGATGGCACCAAACCCCGCAGGAGCCAGGAGCAGGGCCGGCACGTCCCACGAGGAGAGGGGAGGGTGGTCCCCTCTCCCCAGTCCAATAGGAACGTTCGCCTGCCCAGAATCACCCACCTGACGGGGCGGACACCCGGAGCTGCTACACAGGCTCCCTCACCTGAGGGCTGTGCTCCCCGCAAGGACCTAACCCCTTCCTGCCCACGTCAGCTGCTGTCCCATGGGCAGGGGCTCTCACCAGGGGCACTTGTGCTCCCCTCCAAGGGGACACTGGGCAATGTTTGGAGACACTGTTGTCACACAGGGTGCTGCTACTACTGGCCTCGAGTGAGTGGAGGCTGGGGACGCCGCTGAACTCCTGTGCAGACGGCCCCCGCGGCACAGAACCGCGCAGACCAAAGGGCGACAGCACCGGGGCTGAGAAACCTCACGTCACAGAACCGCCAAACCCTGCACCGTTTTCCACCACATGCCGAGGCTCACGCGTAAGGAGCTTGGCTTCCAGCAGGGGGCGCGAGACATTTGCGTGTCTGTGCCTGTCTGCTAGGGCACCGCGCCAGGGCTCAGACACACGGCCCTGGCGTTGACAAACAGGCGTCTCCAGAGCGGAAGCTCTGTGAGGTCTGCGTGTGTGCTCAGGGCTGGCACGCAACAGCACAACGCATGTGTCATTTGTTCGTTTGTGCATTCATTCATTCACTCGCTCACTCACTCACTCAACAATTGTGCCCCGCAGACCTGCCACGTGCCAGGCCCTGTGCTGGGTGGTGGGGACATCGCGTGAGCAAAACAGGCTGAGCCCCTCTGGCTGAGAAGTCACAGAGGAGGAGAACGCACTTCTAAAACCCAAACACAGTTCATGTGTAACCTGAAGAACAGAGTGACTTTTCCACACTTGAGCAAAGCTCGGTAAAGTGCCGTCTAACAGGTACCGACCTCCGGTCTCCTGGTCGTGGAAATTGGGGTCCAGGCCTCGATCCAGCATCTTGACGATTTTCTCCACCAAGCGGTGCTGAATATGGTCCATGCATTTTTTCAGATTGGTCTAAAATGAAAAATAATAAAACAGAAATGTCTCCGTAAGACACGTCTTTACTGGCTATGGGGTGACCTCTGGCCTCTTCCACAGAGGAAGAGCCTCCCCCAGCCGGGCCCTCTGCCCACCCTGGGGCTGTCTGGGCAGCAGCTGTGTCTCGAAGCCCAGGGCTGAGCACGGAGTCCCGCACCTGGCAAACACCTTCAGCCTGTCCTGGATAAGCATTTTAAAAACCCTTCGCTATTCACTGTGCTGTGCTGTGGACTTAATGTTTGCGTCCTCCCGAAATTCACAGGCTGAATAATCCCCAGTGCAATAGCCATGAGAGGCAGGGCCTGTGGGAGGGGATTGGGTCGTGAGCGTGGAGAAAACAGTCCTCTGTGAACTGGTCTTCGCCAGCCACCAAGTCTGTAGGCACCTTGATCTTAGACTTCACAGCTTCCAGAACAGTGAGAAACGCATTTCTGTTGTTTGTGAGTTACCCAAAGTTACTTTTTTAGAACAGCCTAAATGGATGGAGATACCTTGCTAAGAGCTACAGATGTTCCTTCGCTTTTGAAAAGATGAGCTGAGCCGCCCGGAGCACCCTGAAGAGCTAAGGTTTCCGGGGGGCACCCCAGACCCTCTGCCTCCATCCCTCATCTGTAAGGAGGCAGCTGCTCACTCGGGTTAAGCCACTCTTTGGTGAGCCCTGCGGGAGCACGGGCAGAAAGAGCGATGCCTGGTCACTCGGTGGTTGAAGGTTCAAGGTTCAAGGTGAAGGGCGGTGCTCATCTCTTAGGAGACTCCAGAGGTCAGTGGCTCAACCTTGAAGGGCAGAGGCCTTTCCCAAGCTCTGCCAGCCTCACCTGCGAGAGCAACTTCCCGTCCACCCAGCAGACAGCCTGGCCACTTGCCCAGGGTTGCAGGATCGGCACCCTCCGCCCCAGCAGTCCGGCTCTCCGCGCTGGCCTCAGCCTCCGTCCCTGCTCCGCACACGCCCCGACGCACCGAGGGGACCAATGGCGGTTTTCAACATGTGCGGCTCTTGGGCCTCCTGACTCATGCTGGATTTCCACCTGATCATTTTCTATCCCTTCCGGAACCAGGACTGAACGAATGCCCCCCAACATAGGACCAGCACTTTGTCTCACCCAAAACCTTCATTGCCATCTGTGAATCGACACTTTTTAAAAAATCCACAAACACATTTTTATCTATACGTCAGAGTATAATTTTGTTACAAAACAACCCAGAGGCCCAAACCTTGGCCGTCGAAGAATCGCTTTCCGGGCGGATCCCGGGCTGAGGCAGGAAAAGCGCGAGAGGAGCCTGGAGCACCCTGTCGCAAAGCAGTCAGTGCAGGGAGCAGGCGGAAGGTCGACCGACCCCCATGTGGACAACATGAGCACAAAGGCAAATAACGACAATGACACATTAGGACGCACAGTGAAAATCTTTGCATCGTCCGATGGAAATGGGGGGAGGGAACAAAACAAAAACCAGGAGCCACCTGTGGGATGAGAAAGCCCTGGGAGCTCCTGGCTGCAGGTGTGCTCACCTGGGAAGCGCCTGACCTTCTCCAGCCCAGTTCTGCAGGGCAGCTACCGGGCAGCCCCTGGCCGAGGGTGACAGCCTCCTCGGGTATCACAGGTTCCTCCTCAGTGTGAATTAAGCAGGGGGCTCTGCCCACATACCTCAGGGCCTTGGCCCCCCCTTTTTACCTCCTCAACTGGCACAGCACCCCCGACAAAGAGCAGGGTGTTCGTGGCGCCAACGTCATGCTGGGGCTCAGCACGCGGCTGCACACACAGGCCCCACAGTGCCTTCCGCCGGGTGCCAAGCGCTCCGGGCGACTCCCCACTGCTTGCACGCAGTTTACCTGGGTGGTTTATGTCAACAGCACTTTAACAAGGTTTGTACCGATGCAGCAACAGCGGAAAACCATCAAAGTGCTTGGCAGGCACTATCGTCTATCCACGGTGCTGAGCATCCAAATCTTGCCCTCTTCAGAGCCGCTGCCTCCGAACCTCTCCGGAGCACCAGCGGATTTACCGCTCCCGTCCCAAACCCCTGTGGCTTCACTGAGCAGAGCCCGCTGCGGCCAGGTGGCAGAGGGCCTCTAGCAGCTGCGCCTCGAGGTGACCCGTCCACCTGTGCAGCCCAGCCATGCTGCACGGCAAGCCAGGCGTGCGCCAGGTCCCCCGGCAAGAAGATAATAGGACAAGGAAACAGATAAGACGCCAGGAGTGTGAGTAACAACCCATTCCCTGCGTACCTTTGTATGGAGCTTGGCCAGTTGTTTCTCGTCGAGATTGGATTGTTTATACACTCGCTTCTTGTATCGAAACTGGCACAGAAACAGAGAAAAAAGAAAACAAACAAGTAAATACCTCACACGACCGTTCTGAGGAAAAGCGGCCTCTTCCTTGGCTATTTCACCGACAACAGGGAACTCCGCAGCAAACTCCTCAAGTTTTAAATAAACTACTTGTATTCATATAGCACAGTCTGTGACGTCCTAAGTAAAAATCACTTCTGCCAAGATTCTGCAGGAATTTAGCTCAAAAGCCATGAAAGCAAACAAGAGCAACAGAAAGCGAAGCAGAAAGTGCCCTTAGTGGGAAGCTCAGCTGCAGTCGTGCTGGGAGATCCGCTCTCCTTTGGCTAATGAGGCGACGACGATTCCTTACAGGGAATCTGTCTGCCCTCGCACTGCGCGTTCGACAAACGCGGACGCGGCTTCCTCGGCCTTTATTGAAGCACACACTGGAAGCCGGGCCTGGTCAAGCCCCCGCCTCCGCGTATGCCTGCAACCTCTGCCCAGGACCGCAGAGCTACCATTTACCCCCTCAAAGCAGCAGCGCCTGCTTTGAACTGGAAATTGCGCCGTGTGCACCGGGAAGCACACTGTGCTCGGATGCAGCGGCGGCGTGCAAGATGAAAGCTGTGCCGTCAGCCTGCTCGCAGGTCTCCAGCACCTTCTGCCTGACACCGCCCGCCCCCAGCACCCCTAAGCCGCTCGGTCACCACGCGTGCTGGAGACGCTATGGAGGTCTGGGGAGGATGCTGAGTGCGTGGGAGTCACTGGGGCTGGACACCTTCCAGATGCACCTCAGTTTCCTTATCTGTCCCATGGGTGGCCCGAGGGTTGAACGTGAGTGAGCTTCCTGGCACAGAACTGTCCCTGGACAAGTGCCAGTTTACCCCTCCCTTGAGACCATCACCCTCCGAGGTTACACATAAGCTCGGGGCAAGCAAAACCGCCCCCGGATAAAAGGACAGTGAGCGGGTAAGCCAATCCCGAAACTGGAGGTCTAACCCCAGATAATGTTTCCAAGGAGACGACCTTCTCCTCTCTCCTCCACGCCAAACAAAACGGCAATTCAACAACAGACAAAATTCTTCTTTTGCACAGACTGAAACTTGTTTTTTTCCTTTAAAGTCTCAAAATAAATTAGTTATGAAATCAGAAAGTTCTATAGGACCCAGGAGGCTGCACAGAGTTCCGGGATAAAGTGTGGTCGGATGCCCATCTCCCTGGACAGAACCGGCGGGAGGAGCCCCAGGCCCGTCTTAGGATTTCCACCTAGAGTCTAGATTCACCCAGGACAGCATGTTCTGGGACCAATCACGCCTCTGGTCCTGATTTCAGAAGCCACTGGGAAGGATGCCAGGCACAGCCCCCGGCTCACGATCACCTGGCTAAACCAGAAAGGTCTCGAGAATTCAACTCAACGGGCCCTTTTTTCAGCTGTAAGAGAAAACGCTAGGGCCCCCTCCTGCAGGAGGGCAAGTTCCTAGGAGGGGAAGATTATTCCAGAACCGCAAACACTGACAGCTCACGGCTACAGAGAGACATGGCTCAGATCCACAAAGGCTTCTCCTGCCACATCCCCAATGTCGCACACGTAGCCAACCACACTTTACTGAAATCACCGAGGCAAAGCGCTCAGGTGGATGCCTGCCCCTGACGTGTCCATCCCTGGGCTGCCTCAGCCCTTTGAGGGAGATCACCTGGCAGGATGGCGGCGCAGGGAGATGAGTTAACGCAAACATCAGCAATGATCTTGGGGAAATGAATGGGTAAGAGCAGCAGCCACACACCAAAGTGGGGCACTTGCTGGTGGCCGGGCTTGACCAAGCACACTGCTCTGTGAAATCCCCCCCTAACATTCCATGCCAGGAATCTGGGGCTCAGACGGGCTGGGCGTCTGGCACAAGGCTGCATAGCTACGGGTACCAGGGCCCGATCGGAGTAGGCTCCTGAATTGCTGGTCTTCCTGTACAGCTTTACTGTTGTTATCGAAGTGATCAGCCCCTGAAGCGAACTGTGCTGATTTCCTGTTCCTGGTCCGCCCCTCCCACTGGAATGTAAGTGCCATATGACCAGAACCTTGACTGTCAAAGTAAAATTAGGCAAGGTGGATATGCCTGGCAAGTGTCTGGCATGTAGTAGGCCCTCAATGACCGATTTTTTCCCAATGGATACCCATTTTACAGATAAGCAGACTGAGGTCAGAACAGCTTAGTGATCTGCTCTAAACCACACAACTTCCAAGGGGCACCCTGTGTTTCCCTCCGCTGAAACCCCTCCTGCTGGTCCAACACACGGTCCACAATAGGGACCCCAATAACCTCAGTCTCAAAGTCATGATGGAACCTAGAAGTGTGCTGACGAGGTTTCACCTTAGTTCTGGGTTGGTGTCCATGACATCTTGGACTTCAGAGTCATCTCTAGCGGCCAAGTAGAGAGAACCCACTGTGCCTGCTCCAGTGCCAGCTGCGAGCACACACGCTGCGTCTCGTTTGGCCACGCTGAAATGAGCACCAATGTGCTCTGCAGCAGCCGAAATGACCCACTCTGGCTACTTGTAACTGACACCATGTGCATGTTTTTGGGGACCCTGCTTGTAAACCTGGGGGCAGCAAGGCAGAGACAGGGGTCGTGCTTTACGTGGAAATGCATAAGCCTGCCCCATGGGACAGATCCACCACTTCACAAGGGAAGCACAAGACCCCGTCGTGGCAAAAGCAGCTCAAGAGGCCACTGGTCATCTCAGGGCAGGAAGCAGAAAGGAGGCTGCAGGGCAGGGCCACCTGCTACCCAGGGGCAGGGAGACTGGTCTTTATGCCTGATTCCCAGAAAACCCTTGGAATCTCCTGCGTGCTCAGTTTCTCTCGTATGCTAACGAGATGGCTCCTAATTCCTAGGTAGCTTCAGGACAGGGGCTGGTAGCCAGAAAGACCAAGCCAAGGTTAGAAGGTTGGAACTTTTGGCTTCACCCATGACCTCCAGGAAGGGGAGAGAGGCTGGAGGCCCATCCCAATCACGGACGACAGCCAGGGATTTAATCCACCCTGCCTATGGAAGGAAACTTCTATAAAAATCCCAAAACAACGGGGTTTGGAGAGCTTCTGAGTTGGCAAACACGTCCAACTCCCCAAGGAACGACATCCCTGCACTCGGGACCCTGGTCCCTCCTCATCTGTCCGTCTGTATCCGTCACAGTAAACCAGCGATAGGACCTAAAGCACCTTCCTGAGTTCTGGAAGCTGCTCCAGCAAATGGACAAACCCGAGGAGGGGGCAGTGGGAACTCCTGAGTTACAGGCAAGTTGGACAGGAGTGTGGGTGACCTGGGGACCGGGAACTTGCCACCAGCATCTGCGTGAGGGCAGTCTTGTGGGGCTGGGCCCTGACCTGCAGTTAGGGTCAGACTTGAATTAATTCTTTACACCCAGGTGGTGTCTGGAGACCTGGAAAGGCGGAGTTGGAAAAGACACTGTGTGTTAGGCGTTGGGGCGGGGGCCCTGCAGGGAAGCAGAAGGGCGCCCCGAGCTGTACTCTCAGGACTCACAGGTCCTGACACCATGAGCTTGAACCAGACCCACGGTTTGTTCACACCAAGATTTCCCTCCAACAGATTCTTTGAATCTCTAGTAAGAAAACAAATGTACGAAAATTGCGCAACAGTCGAAATTCACAGTAAAATTAGGTGCAACCTCAAGACCCCAAACTAATGCTTTCATCTGAGGCTAACTTCCCAATCCAAACGGAACTGGGAGTTTAGATAAGGCCGTCCCCCCCACCATGCGTCCGGGCCGTGACGCGATCACAGGCGGTGCGCCACGGACTGAAGTACCTCGAGGGAGGGGATGCCCTGGCCCAGGGGCTGCGGATACTCCCGCAGAAGCCGCTCCTCGTCCAGGAACTTGCCGTCACGCCCGTTGCTCGCCGGCTGGAACAGCCCGTAGTTCAGGACGTCTTTCAGACTCTGGTTCAACGTGCACAGAATCCGCTGCTTTGCGACCCACACCGTGGCGTCCGGGTTAAAGCGAATGCATTTCTGCCGAGAACAAAGACAGCTGATGAGCGGTGCGGCCCCCACCCCCATCCCTCGTCACCCACGTGGGACACGCGGTCAGAGACGCCAAAGCTGCGTCCACGCCTCCCTGATGGTTTTTCCGAGCTTTGGGCCCCATGGCTTTTCAGGCTGAAAAGTATAGCCCACTGGTTGCTTGCACGGAGACGTTTGGTAACTATGAAAGGGAGGAACTTAGACTGAGGCCTTGGTCTCTCTGGCCTTGGCGCTCACCACGCACTAAATCCTGGGTACTCAGGGTGTCTTTCTGGTGATCAATAACCTCCTATTGCCTCGGGCAGTGCTACCACTTGCACGATGCTCCTCAAACTTCGGCACCCACTAAAGCACAGATTACCCAGCCCCCTGCACCCCAGCAAACAGGGGGTCTGATTCAGGGGGTCTGATTCAGCAGGTCTGGCTGGGGCCTGAGAACATGCATTTCTCACGAATTTCAGGTGATACTCTTGCTGCCGGTCTGGGGAACACGCGCTGAGAGCCACAGCTTGGGCACATCATACCGTGACTTAATTTTAACACCGATCGCTCTTGGCCCCCTCCGACACGAGTGGATGCCTGGTCCCGTCGCCTCGCTGACGGGCATGTCTTCACACCACCCACGCTGACTCTGAACAGGAGAGCTTCAGAAACACAGCTGCCCCCCCTCCCGCAGGATAAGAAAGGCGATTATGAGATTTCAACTGTGTTGCCTCCAGAGCTGATTTTTGTAAAAGTTAAACAGTGGTGCCGACAGGGCCTACAAACGGATCACAGACACTTCAAAAACATCACGCTGCCTCCGAGAACTGGAAGGACCACAATGCGGTCATGTGCGCAAGCCCTTCTGTGGGATGCTCCCATGTGCCAGGAAAGAGAAAAACCAGGCAAACGCACTTCTGACCGCGACTGCTAGTTTTTGTTGAATTAAAATTATATTCCATTGGACAGCCATCAGCACGGGCTCAAGAATTAGCTTTATCCGTGTGAAAGCATTCAGGGAAAAATGAGGTTTGACTGAAGACGAGGCTGAACCAGTTCTCTACTGGGAGTTCTGCAGGTTTGTGCCCACAGGCCCTGCCACCTTCCTGGCGGCTGAGCAGCTCCTCTCTGCCGGGAAGCTGATCCTGCGGCCGCCAACAGTGAGCACGGGCTCAGCAGGCAGCCAGGACGCCCCCGCCCAGGACACGCGGCACCTGCACACGAATGCCCCCGTGTGTCCCTCTCCAACGTCAAGGGCTCAATTCGAGTGTGACTCTTGAAGCTCCCCACAGGGCTACAAGGCTGAGGCCGGGTGTTCATTCTAGTGACTTGCAGTCACATGGCCTCCCCCATCCTTGGCTGAGAAGTCTCTGGAAACTCCTGGTACAACAAACAAGCTACCCATCAGCCACGACCAGGCGGGGCCTCCCCTAACTCACCTGTTCCCGCATCAGGGATCACCGCCAGCCTGACCAACTCGTGTCCCCTCAGATGCCAACACACAGAGAGTACTGTGGGCCCTCCCTGCAGCCCGGGGACGGGACTCTGCGAGCAGGCAAGTGCTCTAGGAGCAGTGGGCTCAGAATCGCCTCTGTGCCGCTGCGCGTGATCGCAAAGACTGGCATCCCCTGCCGCTCAGCAGGCAGGGCCAGAGATGCTGCATCCATGCAGGACAAAGACCCATTCTGCTCCAAAAAAACACCAAGAGTAGCCCACTGAGAAACTTCTGGAAGGAACAGGAGGTCAGAGGTCAGAAAGGCTTGGGTTTGCAACCCAACTGCACAAGCTGACCTTGTGCTCCTGGGAAAACCTCCCAACCTGGCAGTCCTGTTCCCTCGATGAAAACCACAGCCACGCTCAGCTCGCAGGGCTGTGGGGAGGATCAGAAAGAATGTGAATAATACATGTTACGGGTTGAATCACGTCCCCTAAAAAGATGCTGAAGCTCTAGCACGCCCCCCCTTCATACTGTGAATGTGATTTATTTGGAAATAGGGACTTTACGGATGTAATCAGGTTAAGGTGAGGTCACACTGGAGTAGGACCCTAATGCAATGACCATGTCTTTATAAAGAGGGAGAACTCGGACGTAGCAAAACACACACAGGGAGGCAGTGTGCGAAGGGGAAGGCAGAGCTAGGAACGATGGATCCACAAACGAGATCGTCAGCAAACCCAGCAGCCGGGGGAGAGGCCTGGAACACATCCTCCCTCGCAGCACTCAGGGGACCCTCCTGCTGACACCGGCATCTCAGACTTCCAGCCTCCAGGCCGAGAGACGATACATGTCTGTTGTTTAAGCCCCCAGTCTGTGGTCGGCTATGGCGGCAAGGAACATATATGTAAAATCACGTGCTACTAACTGTGCCAACAGAAAGCAGCACCACCCCACATCTCTGAGATAGGAGCCTCGGCTGGCTGGCACCCCGCTCCCAGGGAGCTCCCCTCCTCTCACACGTGATGGGTGCTGCCCACGCGTCCACTGGCTCAGGGAAGCCCGCGACATCGGAGGACCCCGGACAAATGCTGTTTCCATTTGTTCTTCACTCACTCACCGTCGAGGGTCTCCGCCCATCGGGCAAACGCCAGTTCCAGGAACAGGCCCGGTGCAGCGCAGGTGACCGATGTGTGCTGAATGAACGAACGATGTGGGAGCCACAGAGACAGCAGTGAGAAAACCAGCCCTAGGCCACTGTTTGTCGGGGTAAAAGATACATACTTGACTGTCACGTGCACAGAAAAGGTAAAAATAAATGCCACAGTGAGCTCCCTGGGGGACTCAGAGGAAGGAGCGAGCCATGCCGCCTGGTAGGGTACGCACCCCACAGACAGCTGTCCAGGGACGTGTGAGTTTGGGGTGGGAATTCCAGGCTGAGGGCCCAGCACAAGGAGCGGCAAGGAGGCAAAGATGGAACAGTGATGTGTCTGCCAGGCAGAGCGCCCGAGACAGCCTGTGCCTTAAGTGACCCTCTTCCCACCTTTGGTGGTGATGATGGTGATATCATGGCAATGGTGTAACGATGATGGTGGTGGTGGTGGTGGTGGTGACGATGACAACAGCAATGATGATGACGACCATGATACAGTGATGATTAACATTTGTTGAATCCTAACATACCAGAAACTACGGTAACTATATTCACCTCCCCACCACAACTTCATGCGATGCTCGGTGAAGTTCACCGTGAGGAGTGCTGTGTCATCCCTGCCTCCCCGCGGGCCTGTGAGATGGGTATTCCTGCACAGCGTGTTATCAGAGATGCTATGAAAGAGTGGGCAATGTGCTGGCCGATGCCCAGACAGTACAAGGAGGATGACAAGGACAACCCTGGGGTCAGCAGTCCCAGCCTCTGCCGGCTCCTCTAACAGACTGCTTGAGGAAACACCTCCCTTCTCCTCAAGCTCCTGTCTGTCCGGACAGAGAGGGTCCTGTGCCAGCACTGGGTGGGAGGACAGGAAGATGGCCAAGGTGGGACCTTAGCCCTTAAGGGGCTCAGTGTCTAGTGGGACATGATGGAGATGATGGTGATGGTGGAGATGATGGTGATGGCGGAGATGATGGTGATGGCGGAGATGATGGTGGAGATGATGGTGATGGTGGTGATGATGGTGATGGTGGTGATGATGGTGATGGTGGTGATGATGGTGATGGTGGTGATGATGGTGATGTTGATGATTGTGGTAATCATGGCGATGGTGGTGGTGATGATGATGAAGATGATGGTGATGACAACAGCAATAATGATGATGACCATGATACAGTGATGGTTAACACTCACTGAATCCTAATATACCAGAAACTATGGTAACCATATTCACCTCCCTACCACAACCTTAAGTGGGCATCACTGCTGTTATAATAACGATACTATTATTACTCCGTTTTCCACGTGAGGAAGCTGAGCCTCAGAGACTCCAAGTCTCCCACCCAAGGCCACACTTTTAGAACGCGGTGGAGGTTCGAATGACACCAGGTCAAGTGTGCTTGGCTCCCGGGTCATCCCTGTTTAGCGCGACACGTTACGTTCCTCTCTGTACACATCCACAGCCAACCTCAGTGCAGGCAAAGCATAAATGCCAGGAACACCTTGCTTTATGGTGGTTCATTTCATTGTGCTTCGTGGATACTACGTTTTTCACGAATGGAAGGTTTGTTACAAACCTGCATAAGCAAGTCTGTTGGCACCATTTTCCCAACACCATGTGCTCACTTTGTGTCTCTGTGTCATGTTTCAGCAATTCTCATAATACGTCAAACTTTTCATTATATCTGTTATGATGACCTGTGAGCAGTGATCTTTGATTACTACTGCAATGGTTTTGGGGCGCCATGAACCAGGTCCACGTCAGACAGTGAACTTCACTGATAAATGTTGTGTGTGTCTGACTGCTCCACGGACCGGCCACTGTGCTCTCTGTCCCTCTCCTAGGGCCTCCCTGTGCGACACAACAATTCTGAAACTAGGCCAGCCAATAACCCTGCAGTGGCCTTAAAGTGCCCAAGTGAAAGGAAGAGGCACATGTCTCTCACTTGAAATCAAAAGCCAGAAACGAAGAAGCATAGTGAGGAAGGCACGTCGAAGGCTGAGACAGGGCAAAAGCTGGGCCTCTTGTGCCACAAAAGGTTAGCCAAGTTGTGAATGCAAAGAAAGAGTTCCTGAAGGAAATTAAAAGCACTACCCCAGTGAACACACGAATGATAAGAAAGTGAAACATCCTTATTGCTGACATGGAGAAAGTTTGAGTGGTCTGGATAGAACATCAAACCAGCCAGGACATTCCCTTAAGCCAAAGCCTAATCCGGAGCAAGGTCCTGACTCTCTTCAACTCTACGAAGGCTAAGAGAGGTGAGGAAGCTGCAGAAGAGAAGTCTGAAGCTGGCAAAGGTTGGTTCACGAGGTTTAAGGAAAGAAGCCATCTCCAGAACATAAAAGTACCTGGTGAAGCAGCAAGAGCTGATGTAGAAGCTACAGCAAGTTACCCAGAAGATCTAGCTAAGATCCCTG